GGGAGGCACCAGAAGCCTCAAGTCTCCTGTAATGCTTGGGAGGCTGGAAGTACCACTGATCCCCTGACAGCGTCTTGCCGTCACGGACACTCTGATGGACGTTTTCTCACTGGAGCTTCCCCACCATCCCAGGGAGGGGATGTGACGGTGTGTCGTGTTCCTGTCTCGCAGGTGGGACTAAAGCTCCTGGGAGCACAGTGGCTTGGCCAGGGTTTCCCGGCTCCGTGGCGGGCCGGCCAGCTGCGGGGGTAAGACTCCCCGGGTCACAGTGAGAATGCGGGAGACCACACCTGCACGGGTCACGTGAGGTCCCGCGGGCCGACTTGGCGTGTCATCTGCGATCAGATGGACCTACACAAAACTGGATTTTCCCCTCAAATTCCAGACTGCAGACATGGAACTTGCAATATGGACTCTTGGCCTTTGACTCTATTGCTATTTCAGCGTGCGGCGGGGACACGCTGATGCTCTCCGTTCTTTCCTCTGCGGCCAGAAAGGTGCGTCTGGTCCACCTGCTGGGCACCGGGCGAGCACCTCCCCTAGAATTCTCGGCCGGTCCGCGTGGAGTAACCCAGTCCGCTGGGCTTAGAGGAGATTACTGGAGATATTTCTGGTATGGACGCCAGTCTCACTTGTGAGGTGGCTGCGAAGATTTAGTCTCTGCGGCAGGAATGCTAAACACCGGGCCCCGAGCATCAACAAGGGCATATATTCAAGAGCGCACTTGATTTTCAAATACCAGAGCCATTAATTTTTCAGACCACCCTCGGTTCCTGGAAGCGAGGGGAGATCTCCCATGCCTGAGTCGTCCAGTCCGCCAGGAGCCAGGAGCCCTGCGAGATGCCAGCGTCTCCGCAGAGTTTACACAGAAGCAGGCCCTGGGGAATGTCCACTGCAGTGGGGGACCCGCGTGCGGGGCTTTAACACAGCACTGGCTGTCACGCGACCCCTGGGGCCGGAGGGGGCATTTATCCCGGGTGTCTACACAGTTTATGACTATGTCACTTTCTCATTTGTGGCTTTGCATTATTATTTTAATCAGCATTAAAATATTTACATTAAATTACATTTCAAAAGCTATTCTGGGGAGACGGGTCCTTATAAGTAGGGGGTAGTGATAACCCAGAGGCGGAATTCCTCAGAACATTCAAGGTGCCGTTTTTGTTGTTTTTTTTTCTCTCATTTCACACTTCTCCAGAGTACTTTTCTACCTCCCCACCTCCAACACCGGCCTTTTTCCACCCTTCTTTCTCCCTGTGGCCCCATACAGGTCAAAAGGCCTGAAGGACAGAGACAGTCCGCCCAGGGCCCCCTTCAGCTAGAACACCCATCTGAACTTGACACGGAGGTCAGGGAAGGATTGAGAAGGAGAACCGCTGCACTCGGATAAAATTCTATTAACGTTCGAGAATGGAGGCTTTCCAGCACAGCTGCCCGTACAAATTATATTTTTAAAGAGCTAAACTAGTGTCTTGCCCTCTCCGTCCCGAAAATTTCTGGCGACAACTTTTCTAGTCCATTCCTTTTAAAAGGCCAGGCCCCACTGTGTCTGCTTCGAATAAAAAATAGCTTCCCTCGTTCGATACAGCCAGGAACTCAGTGACATATAAAAAATAACACGCACATTATCAAGTGAATGGGAACTAGACCTTTAGACAAAATTTCAAAGCATTACATTGTAAATGAAAATTCTGGCAATCTCATAATTATTCATTAGGCATGTATATTTAATTTAACACTATTAAAGGTTAATGCCTAAGTAGCAAAACTGGTCACAGAATAAAGAATGAACTCAATGTTCAAACATCTCTATGCATTAAACTTCAAACTTTACTACGGTACAGTTGAATGACTAGACGCCTCCAGCATTTGAATATTGTTTTGGATTATGTAAAAGGCATTGCTGAAGTCGCTCTTAGGCTTAATTTTTATTACTTGTATTAAAGGAACAGCTAATTACCACATGACAATATAATGACTCTAGCATGTTTGGGCTGGAGACCAAAACAATGAATCTCGGCGTGCCGAACCCCAACCTGTATGTTAATCCAGGGGAAATCATGGCTTTTTGTCTCGTTAATGATTCCCGGGGCCATTAAACCCCACACAAGTATTGTTGGGTCTCATTCTGAACGTCACAAGCCTCCGACCTTGGCAGCTCAATTAGGGAATCGTCTGGCGGAGGCCAGAGAACACACCAAATCCTGCAAACCTGTCTCCTTGCCTCTTCCAGTTCAACGGGCTTGATCGTCGGTTCCATCCGCCCAATGTGACAAACTTGCAAAGTGTTTTACAATCATCTGATAGTTAATTCCTAAAACGCTCTTTGAGGAATTATGGAGCTCATTATGCAACACAGGACCCAGAACATAATTACAACAAACAACAATACCATCACCTGTATTTACCCAGCACCTTCTCCTAAGTACATGTAACATGACCTCATTAATTCCAGCCGTCACAGTCAGAGGTCGGGGGAGGGGGCGCTGGCATCCCACCCAGGGATGGTGGGGGCGGGGGAGAAGTCGGAGGCAAACAGGCTAGCACAATTCTAATTAGGATTTCTGCTTCCTGAACCAGCAGCCAACTAAATTATACTGTCTCTTCAAGCACTAATTTAACAAGTATTTCCTGCGCATCTCTCTGCTCCGGGCAAGGCCCGGGTGAGGCGCTGGGATGGACATGCGGCAGCATCAGCTGGGACCAGCCTCACGGGAGAGACACAGCAAGTTCACAAAATGACCAAAGCGAAAGCAAAGAGGGCGACACTGACCAGATGAGCTGGAGACCACTCCCGGATGGAGACAACTGGCAAAGGTAAACTTTTTTTCCTTTTTTTTAAAAAGAGGTGACAGGATTTAGACCCGTGCAGACTGTGGGGCAATGAGTCCTGGTGGAGAGGCAGCAAGTGGGCACGGAAGTGCCAGGCAGGGCCAGAAGAATGCTTCAGTCCGACTGCTGGTGCCCATGTACGTTTTATGACATCAGGACTGTTCTAGGTGCTGGGTGGGGGGCATGGCGCTAAGAAGACAAAACCCTTGCTCTCAAAGGCCCGACATTCTACTGAAATGAAGGAAATGGACAAAAAGCAAAACTAAACAAAACAAAATACTTTCAAGCACTGCCAAGCCGGACTATGAGAGGAAACGGGGTGTGGGAACAGGGAATGGGTCCTGGAGACAGATGGACAGGGAGGGCCTCCTGGAAGAGGTGGCACCGAGATTAAGATGTGGGTGCCAAAGATGAGGGACTCTGAAGCCTCTTGGCAGAGAGAAGAGCAGTGCAAAGGCCCGGAGGTGGATATGAATGTGGCATATTCCAGGCACAGAGAGAAGCCAGCAAGGGTGCAGTGAAAGGAAGAGAAGGACCGCAAGGGACACATCGTCAGTGACTGAGGCCTGTGTTTAGGGAGATAAAGAAGAATACAAATGAAGTTAAGGAGAGAAAGAGAAGACATAAAGAAGAATCAAATCGAATTCTGGATCTGAAAATATCAAATACCACTGACGCGGTAAGTAGCGCATCAGTCTCATTAAAAAGACAACGTCTGAATCAAGTTTGTATTCAGTTCTACTCCAGATGGGAAAACCTGTCAGCAGAGGACGCTGGCAAGGTAAGCCTCTAGCCCACAAGAAGAAAACTGCAGTACTCAGGACCAAAGAAATGTTTGTTGGTTTAGTGGCAAAGTATTTAAGAGTTTTAGGCTTAAAGATGAGTTACGCAATTTTCTTTTGAAAAGTTAAATGTTCCATATTAGCCGCCCTGTTCTCTGATGGCAGATGGCTATCAGTAATACGCTGCCTTGCAGACATTTTTGAAAAAACAAATACATGATCTAGTTGATGTTTTAAGACTTATTGGGGGAAAAAAACCACTTCTTGAAAGAAGCTCAGTTATAGTGATAGCATTTCAAAAGTAGGTATTTGGAAACATTCCCATCATCATCTAAACATACAGGCAAAAACAACATCCTCTACAAAAATGTCTCAGCCACAAAAATGACTGCAAAAAATGCAAAGAAAGAGGATAATCGGGGGGTGGGGTGGGGGGAGATAAGTTAATAAAAACAGAACTAGAAATGACAAGAGATAATGGGATTAGTTGATGAAGACATCAACAGCTATTATAAGCCTGCTCAAAGATTTAAAGAAAAATATGAACACAATGAGGAGAGAAATGGAAGCTACAAAGAAGAATCAAATGGAATTCTGGAGCTGGAAATACAATGTCTGAAATGGAAAAAAAAAAAATTCCCTCAACTGGCTTAACACCAGATTCGACACTGCAAAAGAATAAAGATCAGTGAATTCACAGACACATAGAAACTGTCTGAACGGGGAAAAAGTTACTAAAACCTCGGCAACCTATGGAATGGTACCAGGCGGTCTAATGCTGGTCCTGGAGAGGGGCGAGGAGTAGATCTGAAGAAACAGGAGAGAAATATTCCAAATTTGGTAAAGGTTATAAATACAAAACTCCAAGAAACTCAACAAACTACAAATAGGCTAAACACAGAACATCAATAAACCCCAACAAATTGCTGAAAACAAGAATAAAAAGGCAATCTTAAAAGCCAGAGAAAAGAAGGCTTGTTCTGCGCAGGGGAAGAAAAATAAGACTAACTAGGGACCTCCTGTCAGAAATGAAGCAGGCCAGTTCTGAGAGACAGAGAGAGAGAGAGAAACAAACAAATAAACCCAAAATTGCCAACGTACAGTTTTATACCCAAGAAAAATGTCTTTCAAAAAAACGAGGTTGAGTTTTGTTTTTTTTTCCCCCCCACATGAATGAAAGCTGGTGCAGCTCACGGTCAGCGTGCCCACACTGTAAGAAATGTTAAGGGAGATGATACAGACTGAAAGAAAATGGTGCCGGACAGAAACCTGGATGTGCACGAAAGAATAAGCAACACCAGAAATGGTAAATATATAAAAATAAAATGCTATTTTTCTCATTTTTAATTTCCTAAGAAGATCATTGACTATTTAAAAGCAAAAATAGCGCTCGCTTCGGCAGCACGTATACTAAAACTGGAATAGTACAGGGAAGATTAGCTTGGCCGTGCACAAGGATGACATGCAAATTTGCGAGGCATTCCATATTTTTCTATGGTGAAAGAAGAAAGCAAAAATAGTAACAATGTACTATACCATTAGAACGTATCTAGGAATAAAATGAATAACAATACACAAAGGACTAGAGAGAGAAAATAAATGTATTGGAAGATTCCTCCGTTGTATGAGAAGTAGTATAATATTATTTGAAGGTACAGTGTAATAAATTAAAGATGGTGATTATAAACCCTAAGTAATCACTGAAAAAATAAGACAAAGAGTTACAGATAACAAGACAATTGGGGAGATAAAATAAGATCATAAAAAATAATCGAATGAAGCAGGAAAAAAATAACCCAAACCAGGTAACACAAGTAAGAAACAAACAGTAAGTTGGCAGACTTAAACCCAACTTTATCCATAATTACACTCAATGTAAAAGACCTAACGTTCCACTTAAAAAGAAGATTGTCAGATTGGACAATAAAGGAAGGCATAGCTGTTTACAAGAAATGCAACTTAAATATAGTAACAAAAAACAGGTTAATAGTAAAAGCACAGAAAAAAGATCAAACATGAAAACATTAATCAAAAGAAAGCTTGAGTGACTAAGTTCAAATCAGACAAAGGAAACTTTAGGACATGAAATATTACTAGGGATAAAGAAAATCATTGTATAAACTTAACAGAAATCGTATGATGCATTTCCTGCAACTACAACAGAATAAATCAATGACGTAAATTCCCCACCCCAAGAAGAGGGAATAAAACCCAAAGTAAGTGGAAGTTGGTAAACAGTAAAAACAAAGAGTAATAAAACTTAAATCAGAGGGGGAAAAGAGAAAAAGTAAGGCAAGCAAAAGTTAGTTCTTAAAAAAAATAATCATTAAAATTGACAAGCCTTTAGCCAGAATGATCAAGAAGAAAAAAGAGAATCCACAAATTCTAAGATCGGGAATGACAAAGAAAGTATCACTACACATCCTACAGATACTTGAAAGAGAACAAAATATTATGAATAACATTATACCAGTACACTGGATAATTTACATGAAATGGATCGTTCCCAGAAAAATTACCAAAACTGACCCAAGAAGAAATAAAACATCTTAATAGTCTTTTAAATGTTAAAGAAGTTAAATTTATAATGAAAAACTTTGTACTAAAGAAAACCTCAAGCCCAGATGCCTTCACTGGTGAACTAGAGAAGTTTTAGAGAAGAACAATAGATATCTTACACCATAACAGAGATGGTGTAACATAATACTGGTATCACAGACAGATATCTTAAACCAACTCTTTCAGCAAATAGAGAAAGAGGCAGCACTTCTCAACTCATTTTGTAAAACCACAGTCCTATGTTCCTGATGAATGTAAATGTGAAAGCCCTTCATGAAATATTAGCAAATCGAATCCAGCATATTCTAAAAACTGCAACACATCATAACCAAGTTAAGATTTATCCTAGGAAGACAAGGCTGGATTAACATCACACCATCAACCACATAACTTCACCATATGAAGAGCAGAAAGGTAAAAAATTGTATGATCACCTCAAGAGATGCAGAAAAAATCTGACAGAATTCAGTATCTATTCATGACAAAAACTCTTGGCAAAGTAGGAATAGAAGGGCATTTTCTCAACCCCATAAAGAGTGTCTATTAAAACCCCACAGCTAACATCATACTTAATGGTGAAAGTCTGAATGCTTTTCCCTAAATGTGGGACCAATGCAAGATGTCTGCTTTCTCTACTTCTATTCACGGTCATACCTGAGGTCCAAGCCAGTGCAAGAAAAAGAAATATTTGACATTACAGATTGAAAAAAATACAGAACACATCAATAACACTACCAAACAATTTGATCTGGTATTTATGAACATTCCACCCAACATCTTCTAAGAAGTACACAATCTCTTCCAGCGCACAAGGAATATGCCAGATAGAAGATCCCAAGGAATCTACCAAAAAGCTTTCAGAAATAATAGGTGAGTGTGAAAAGGCCACAAATACAGTATCATTATATAAAAATTAAGTGCATTTCTATATAAAAGTGACACATGGAAAAGAAAATTATAAAGAAAATACTATTTGCTATGGCATCCAAAAACATGACCTACTTGGGGTTATGCTGGATGAAATATGTGCAGGCTTGTATGCTGAGAACTATAAAATATTCCTGAGGGAAATCACAAAAGACTTAAATAAAAACACCATGTTTGAAAGGAAAGATTTGATAGTCTTAAATTGTCAATTTTCCTCAGATTACCTATAGAGGAACCTTGATTAAAATTCTAGGACACACATGTGTAAAAAGACGACCAGGGATGCCTAGGTGGCCTCTGCGTTCGGCTCAGGTCATGATCCCGGGGTCCATGGATTGAGTCCCACATCAAGCCCCTTACTCGGTGGGGAGCCTGTTTATCCCTCTGCCTGCCACTCCTCCTACTTACCGGCACACATGCCCACATGTGTGCACGCTCTCTCTCTCTGACAATAAATAAATAAATAAATAAATAAATAAATTAAATCTTAAGAAGACCAAAGATAAAGAACTTATATTACCTGATTAACACTGACTGTAAAGCTCTAGTAACCAAGACAGGGTGACATTAACATAAGGACAGACACACAGAACAATGAAATAAAATAGATGGTCCTTTACAATATATACATATAGACAGACAGATACATATATGTCTGTCTATATATATATTATATATATAAAAGAGGATTTAGACAACATCTCACACACATAACATCCATTAATTTTCAATGAAACTTGACCTTAATCTCAAACCACACGTAAAAACTAACTCAAAATGTATTATCGGCCTAGAGGTAAAAGATAAAAATTATACAACTTCACTGAAAACCACAAGAAAAAAAATAGAGCCTAGTCAATAATTTCTTAGAACATAAAAAACAAAAACAAACAAACAAACAAACAAAAAAACAGAAAAAACCCCAGACCATAATAATCAGAGTAACTTGGGCTTTATTAAAATAAAACCTTATCCTCGTATGGGGAGAAAATATTTGCAATGCATATATTTGACAAAGGACCTGTGTCTAGAATATATAAAATATTTACAACTCGGTAATATGACGATCCATTTTTTTAACGGGCAAAAGATTTTAAACACTTTATAAGTGAAGATCTAAGAATGACCAAAAGGCGCATGAAAAAATAGCATCATCAGTCATCAGGAATATGCAAATTAAAATCACAACAAAATAGGCTATACTCTCCATGGAATGTCTAGCAGTGAAAAGACTGACAACACCAATTGATGGAGAGGACGTGGAGGAACCGGAACGCCCACTGGTTTCTTGCTGGGGGATAAGATAACACAACTGCTTTGAAAGAACAGCTTGGCAGTTTCTTGCACCTGTAAGTGCATGCCTGCCCTATGTCTCAGCAATTCCAGTCCTAGGTAGTTACATATGTGTTTGTATTTATGTATTTATACGATTTTGATCATTTATGAGAGAGAGACAGAGCGAGCATGAGCAGGGAGAGGGGGAGAAGAAGAGTGGGTGGACTCCAGACTCCCAGTTGAGCAGGGAGCCCAATGTGGGGCTCGATCCCAGACCCCAGGAGCACGACTTGAGCCAAAGGTAGATGCTTAGGCGAAGGAACCACATAGGTGCCCCAAGTCTTAGGTATTTAAAAAGTATGCCCACACAACAGCTGCTGATGAATGCTTATAGCGAGTTACTCCCAGCAGCCCTCACGCCGGATGTCCATCAGCAGGTGGATGGACAAGCACGTTATTACCCCACACAGTGGGACACCATTCCACACCACAAAGGAGAGGACTATGACAACACAGATGAATCCCCAACACAGCACGTTGAGGCGAAGAAGTCAGACACAGACGAGAACATGCCAGGGTCTCCACTTATGTGGAACGCCGGAAATAGTAAAGCTGACTGAAACCGACAGAAAGCAGATCGGTGGTTACTGGGGTCTGGGATCAGCAGGGAACTTTGGAGGTGATGGGAAGGTTCCATATCTAGACTGGGAGGGTGGCCATGCTATCAAGTTGTACACTTGAGATTGGTGTGTTTTATTGTCTGCAAATCGTGCCTCTACCAAGTTGACTTTAAAATATGGTATTTTTGGGAGAGCACAAAGTTTTTTGTACTGCTGAGAAAATATAAATTTGAAGTCGTTTTTATTCTTCATCACATCCTTTTAATTCCATTTTTACCTTATGATTTATAATGTATTTGCTACATTCCTCTAATTATAAATGTCTGTCATTTAAGCAAGTGAATGCATAAGCACAGGCAAGGGGTGTGATGTCAAGATTTGGGGGACGTGAACAAAAGTAGTTTGGAGACCACGGACTTAGAGCCACCCAGCTGCCATGCAAAGGACGGCCGGGAGACGGGACAGGAAAGGTGGAGAGCCCAGTGGGGCGAGAGGGCCTGGTGGCCCGGATGAGGTTGGTGGTGGCATCTGGGAGCATAACACACAGGAAGTTACTTAGGGAGAGAATGTAAATGCAGAAAAGAAAAAGGCTCGGCAGAGTCTGGGAACTGCCCACATTCAGAGCCCAGCAAGGAAGAGGCAGTTGTGGTGTTGGGGAAGGAGTGTAGCAGGTAGTGGGTGGTCGGGGGGGAGGTCAGCAGGCATAAACGACTCTGGAGTTTTGCTATTATAGGGAGTAGAGAGCTGGCCGGTGGCTGGCAGCTGTCACCCTCCTCTGATCACATATACTTTCTCAGCGAGGTCTGAGGTGTGTGGAGATCAGGGTGGAAACAAGGTATGAAACAGAACACGGATGGGGAAGAGGGGCTAGTCTGTGTTCTTTAAACTTGAAGTGAACTGACATCCTCTGGTCTTCTTGTTTTGGATTCTCTGTGTCACCGTAAAGGGAGTGCTGGCACGCTCTGATAAAACTCAATATGGCGGGGAGGTACGTTCTAGAAGGAGGACGCTGCTGGCCTTCATGGAGCACGGTCGAGGCTGGGAAGCAGGGCTTCTGATTCGCGGGGGCCCTGGTGTGCTGGGGAGGGTGCAGACAGGCTGCTGGTGAGCT